CCTTTTTTTTTTTTTTTTTTTTTTTTTTTGAGACAGCTTCTCTGTGGCTTTGGAGGCTGTCATGAAACTAGCTCTTGTTGTAGACCAGACTGGTCTAGAACTCACTGAGATCCGTCTGCCTCTGCCTCTGCCTCCCGAGTGCTGGGATTAAAGGTGTGCACCACCACTGCCTGGCCATAAGTACCATTTTATCTTCATATCCTAGAAGAGAAAGCCAGAGTCCAGGGGGTGAAGTGGCCTGTGAAAGTCCACAGCCAGTAAGTGCAAGAGCAGGCATTCCAGGACAAGCCCTCTGGCACCAGAGACCAAGAAGGCACCGTCTTACACATAGTAACAATTATAAAGCAACAAGTCTAAAAACTTTTGAGGATTGCCTAGTGATGGCTTAACTACAGTTACTGGAAGTATGGAGGTTTCTGCCTAGGTTACAGTGCCTCAGTTTAGAGAGTTCTAAGGAAGAACCAAGCCTCCAGAAGACAGTCTGTGTTAGCCTTCTATACTTTGAAGCCAGGGCTCTTCAACTCCACCTTCCTGTGTGTCCCCTATCTTGTGAGCATGCCAGGGCTCATCTGTGACCATGTTCTCCTTACAGCATTCATTCTTTTTATTTGTGCTTTGACTTCACCTTTTGACTTGGGTTGTAAGGATTTTAAGGAAACATGATCTTTGGTGCCATTCCTCAGCACAGCTGTTACTAGACTGTACTCAGAGAAGAGAGCAACTTTTGATCTCCCAGCCCTGTGGGAGGTATGAGGTCAGTGGTTAGCAGTTGCTGAATAGGAGAGTGGCCTCCATCCTGACTTGCTTCTGCACGCCCCAGGGGCCTGTGGGAGGAGACAGGCAGCTTGGTGCACATGGCACAGGACAGACCTGTTCTCTCATCAAATTTTTAAAGCTATTGAAATCTGCAAAGACCTACATGAAAAACAAAATATTTACTTCAGGGACAAATGAACTGAAAATAGAGTATTTATCTCCATTTCCTTTGTTTTCTAGGAGCAGGTGGGTAAGCAGTAAGCTATCAAGAAGGCTTTTAAGCAATTTATCATTAACTCCAAGCTTCAATTATATTCCCCTCTATTTTTTAATACATGAGCCTGAGATGTGGTATTGACCAGACCACTTAATGATAACTACAGGAAAACAAACAGCAAGATCTGTGTACAGACTCCACATTATAAACTGTTAGAGAATCAAAGATTGCTTTCTTAAAATCTTGCTGTTTCATGAACCAAGACCTAACTTTCTTTTCACTTTGTTCTTTTAATAGAATATTAGAAGTGGCCAGGTGTTCTCAGTTAACAGATGTGGGCTTCACTACTCTGGCCAGGGTAAGTGTTTCTCTAGGCTCTGTAGTTGACTTTTATAGATTTTCTTGGATTTTTATTTCAGAGGAAGCAGCAAAAAGAGAAATTGAGCATGGAAGCAGAAATAGAACCGCCTCTGTGGCTGTCTGAGCCTTCTTGTGCAAAAGCTATAAGCCTGATCCTCAGGAAAGGCAGCTGAATTGCTGACATGCTGGAGATCATGTGCTCCTCGGTGAGCCTTGAGTTCTCCATAGCGTCATTAAGATAGTGAATTAAACTAAGCAGAGTTGATTTGGTGTGTAATTGAATGAGGATAATGTTAAAAAACTACAGGCCTGATTAGTGATATACCAGTCGTTAGAGACATATATTTCTAGGGGATTTTAATACTTAAACAGTGGTTTATATAAATCACTGTAGAATAACACCATTTTCTTTTTATGTTGTGATGTTTTCTTTGTTTGTTTGTTGTTGTTGTTGTTGTTGTTGTTGTTGTTGTTGTTGAGGTAGTGTATCCCTGGCTGTCCTGGAACTCTCTCTGCAGACCAGGCTAGCCTTGAGCTTAGGTCTGCTTGGCTCAATAATATTTTAAATTATACTGACTTCAGTCAATATTAAAGAATAAGGGGGCAGGTCTAAGGAGATTACTCAGGAGTACTGGCTATTCTACCAGAGGTCCTGGGTTCAATCCTCAGCACCCACATGGCTGTTCCAAGGGATCCAACACTCTCATGCAGACATACATGCAGGCAAAACACCAATGCACATAAAATGAAGTTTAAAAAAAAGAAAAAAGAAAAGAAAAACCGGGGAATATGATTTGCTTTTTGGCTGATGTGTGGAGTAGTGATAAGGTGAAAGCCATCTGTGGCTAAAAGAGGGAAGAAAACATCCTCTCTTCAAAAGAAACAATTTTTATTGAGTTAATTTTTAGTTATAAGAGGTCTCTTTGGCTAGGCATGGTAGTGAACACCTTTAATCCCAGCACTCAAGGCCAGCCTGGTCTACAGAATCAGTTCCAGTATAGTCAGAGCTATTAAACAGAGAGACCCTGCCTTGATAAAGGCCATCCCCCCCCAAAAAAAATTTTTTTTTGTTGTTTTGTTTTTTGGAGACAGGGTTTCTTTGTGTAGCTTAGGAGCCTATCCTGGCACTCACTCTGGAGACCAGGCTGGCCTCAAACTCACAGAGATCCACCTGCCTCTGCCTCCCGAGGCCTGGGATCAAAGGTGTGGGCCACCACCACCCGGCAAAAAAAATAAAATAAAATCTTAAAAATAAACATGCACACCGTGACTCGAATGTCTCTGTGCAGGTAAAAAGCAGAGCTGAGAAGGGAGCTGGAACACGGGGCTAGGCTCAGGGTGGCCCCTGGACACTGGGCAGTATGAAGGATGTGGAGGGCAAGCGTGGTATTTGTGGGTGTGGGAGACCTGCTGGGCTGGGCTGG